CTGTCTACAATGAATGGTAGCAGCAGCAGGCTCTCCCAGCCATACCCAGAGACACCAGGGATCAAACCTGGTATCTCCTGCACACAAAACAAGCATGTCAGAATCCCTCCTCCCAGATGCAGCACTGCAGCACCTCCCTTACGCTGAAGTCCAAGTTAAGAATAGGTTCCCACTCCCGGTAGTGGGCAGCCCATAACAATCTACTCCACGCAACACAGGCAGCAGACACACCGTTACATTTCAAGCACATGCCCCAAAGAATCCGGGGAACTGCAGTTTCTTAAGGGTGCTGGGAGCTGTAATTCTTTGTGGGGGAACTATAGATCTCAAGATTCTTTAGGGAAGTCTTGTGCTTTAAATGTACATTGGGTGTGCTTTAATTGCATGGTGCAGATCTGCTCAAAGATTGCTGCTACATACCCTCCAACTATACACATTTAGCTGCTAGTTCATTGTCCACCCCTATGGCTTTGAATCAAGTTGCTAAAAAAAACAAAAACCCACACAACCAACCTTCCACTTTGAACCAAATTTTAGGCTATAATAGCTCACTAGAAAATTACCAGACCAAGGAAGCAAACAGTCCCTGATCTCAGTGGCCAAAGATGATTAAGACCTGCATGGACAATACCTTGGCTACCTGCAGAAAACCCTGGGAATGATAGTTTTGTGAGGATGCTGAGGATTCTCTGAAAGAGAAGGATCTCAAAAAATTACAGTTTCCAGAGGTCCATCTAGATCAGTATTGTCTATACTGATAGCCAGCAGCTCTCCAAGATTTCTGATCTGCAGATGCTGGGAACTGAAGGTGGCAAATGCTGTTCCACTGAGCTTCGACCCTTCCCTGGGGCCATATAGATCAAACTAGTGGAGTCTAATAGTCCACAGAAATTTCACAACTACAATCCAACTTCAGTCCAAAAGCATGCCAGTCTTCATTCCACTCAGCCCTATAGGCGTGCTGATAGGTGGGTGTTTTGGATCATTAAGAGCTTCTAATGATCCAAAGGTTCAGAGCATGTTCCTCCTTGCCAACCTCTATCAAATATCAGACCAACAACAATATGAAGAGAGGAGAAAATGAGAACCTCCTTACAAACAGAAGGTTACAGCATATAAAGACTGATTAATCTTACATGGGAAAGAGAAAGTATCCATGTTGAAATCAATATGAAGAATTAAGTGTAATGACTAGAGGTGAGAGAAATCTGAACTCGGCCATACCAAGATTACTATATCAGCAGCCAACAGATACAAGTTTAAAAAATGTGACTTGATTAATAGGAAAAGAGGCTTCAAATTTAAATTAAAAGATTTAAGAAAGAAGTTTGCCCGAACTAAGGCAAAGCACCATGACTAGTCCTTAGGAGTCAACTGCGTTCTTTAAGTCAGCTCATAGAAATGACTACCAGATGATAAATATGGTCATCTTTCATAGGCCAAGCCCATAAACTGAGAATATTAACTGTTGAACTAGAAAAAATGCCCAAGGGAGGACAATTTTAGTTTGGGTTCTTGGGACTGTCCCACAGTTAGGTTTTGATTTTGTAAGGCATTCAGATAACTTACATCTATCTGAAAGGAGAAAAGGTTTTGACAGTAACTTGGTGGAGTTAATTCCCGGCTGCATCCTGGGCTTGACCAGTCTCTCAATTTGCACCTGGCACTTCTATGGGTATAGGTCAACCACAGTTACTAAAAGCATCATCAAAGCAGATGTGCAAGCTAGGTGGGGTGATATCATGTTTCACTCTCAGCTGGAGCCATGCTTCTAATAACGAAGGTGATTCAAAGTTCACTTCCAAACATGAATCATCTTATCTCTGACTTCCATCTTACTTTCAAGCACAGCTTTTCGAAAGTCCTCAAAATGGCTGAAACGGCTGCCATAGGCAAACCATGTTATCAATCAGACCATCAGAGCTACTGTCCAAGATATTTTGGTGCTTGAGGCAAGAAATCCAAACAGTATTCTGTCTCTATCTCCCTCCCCCACCCCCCACCGCCTCCTCTGGGAATTTGGTGGCTTATAATGCAGGACTGAAGAACGTTTTTCAGCCCAAGGGCAGCATTCCCATCAGGGTCACCTTCTGGGAGGGGCACATGCTGGTGAACCCTGTGGCACCCCACTAGTCCATTTAATACTATGAGCCAATAATTTGTTTCTTTCAAAAGCACCCAAATGGGACGTGTGTGTCCTTTGTTACTGGAGGACCCCTTGCCCAATGATTTAAACTCAGATGCCAGGGAATTATTCTCCATTTCTTTCTCCTTTTTCTCTCTTTACCAGGATTTTTAAAATAATAATAAAAAAATTGAACAGCAGTTTGAAGCTAAACCAGGAATCTCTTTTTATTCATCTTAAATGTCAAATGAATGCTTGTCTTCAGACGCGACAGTACTGAAGGCATGGAAAATGGGAGAAACACACACCAGAGTGGGGGAATAATTAATTGTTACCACTTGCACTAGATTCTCTCTCTTCTCCATCTGGCCTGTAAAAGACACACACCGACACACTCCAGTCAAATCTAAGCACTCACAAGTCACATGTATTTCAGCAAGGAAGATTTAAACATGTGTTTAATTCTCCCAGTTCAACTTTTAAGTGCTTAACTTGGCTGGATGGTATCCAAAGCCTTTTTGCTACCTTAAGAAATCCATACTCTTGACCTGAGTTAAAACTGATATGACGTCTGTCCACACTCCTTCCCCAGAGTTCTAGTGTTGCTGATTCAGTGCTTCTCCCTGCAAACCATAGGGCACCTGTGGATAGTCTATGTCAACAGAATTATGGGAGGATTTGCAGAGTCAGCATGAGTGGCACCACTGGTTGTTTCCACTGATAATGTGACAAGCAGGCAGCAGCCTCATATATACATTATATTCATATCTCCTGTTCCTTGCCAAAGCTCAGAGCAGCCAAGTGGTTTCAGAATCAGACGCCAGCTTGTGTCTAGGCAGCAGTCAGCTCTGCCCCAACAAGGTAGTTCCTTCACAGGACCTCTGACCATCTTCTGGGCCTCACAAAGGATTGGTTTCACCCCTATAATTCCCTGCATGCATGTGTGGAGGGAGGGTAAGGTTGATGCAGTGCAAACACACCGGTGAGAATGCCAGATTGGCTCCTCCAGTGCATTTGCACTGCACTGCTTCTGCTGCCACCTTGCCCCTCACTCTCATTGTTTGTGGTGATGGGAGGTCAGGTAAGTACTGCCTCCCCTGCCAACTGCTACTGCAGGTGAGGGACTCTGGCCTGATTGCCATGTGCTTTGGAAGCGAAGCTGGTGCATATGTGCAGCACAGCCTTTTCAGTGGTAGAACCCACTCAGCAGGACTTCCGGGTTGGCGCCATCGCCGAATGGCGGACTCCCTCCGAGCTCCGGAGGGAGTCTGCTCGGCAGGGGCTGGGTCCTACCGCGCCGGCGACGCGGGGACCCTTAAAAACCACGGGCACGGAGTCCGTGGACATGGGTGACTCGGCTTGCACCATTAGCGCCCTCCCGACTCGTGAAGGAGCCTTTTAAAGGCTTCGGATCGGGTGCCGGGAGCGGCGTGGTGCTTTGAGTCTTCTGCTTTCCCTGCCGAGCGCAGCCGCATGCCATTCGACGGAGAGCGCTGACTTCTTCCATTGAAAATTTGGACTATTAACAACAACCCGTGAGTAATTGGGAAACCGGGTTCAAAATTTCGGATTTGGCACGAGCGGGGCGATTAAAAAGGAAGTCAATCCCCCCCCCTACTGTAAGCATTCCAAAACAAGGACTGGGCAACCAAGGTCCAAAGGGAAGTATATTCTTGATAAAAACCATTAATTTCACGATGGGAAATTATAAGAACTGTGCTGGAGGAGAAGAGTGGAGGGTGAGAAGAAAAATGCAACCCCCCCCCCCGGGAACCGGGGCGATTCGTGGAGCCTGGTGAAGAGAGACGGAGACTTTGACAGCTGTCAAAGTGGCTGTCAAAGTTGGAGAATACAAAGAGGACTTTGTTATGAGGACTTTGCCGGTTAATTTTGCTATAATTTGCTACAATATGGATATAAACTGTTGGAAAATAAGCAACAATTTGACTTTTGGATTAGAGGATACAAGTTAATACAATCCCTCTAGAGGGGTTTCGGGATATTACAAGAACGGTCGTAAGTGGAAAAATACTCTGGGATTCTGCACAGGACTTGTTATCTTTTGGAAAGCTGCAAAACTGAAATAGTATTTTGTCTACAGAGGTATTTACATTAAAGGAGACAATAGAATTCTCTATTGAAGGAAGGAAGGGACTGGACGTAAGTTTTTGTTCCTGAATAACAAACCTCTGCAGAGATACCAGATTTCTGAATTAGAAAGTTTTAGCAGCTGAACAGGACAAGAAACCTGAGAAAGTGAGGAAAAGAAGAACAAAGGACTGATTACGACACGGAAAGAACAACGGGAGGAGTGGTAAAGATCAAGGAAATTAAAGGCCTTTGTTAGATTGGACACTTGAAGTTACATATTATTAATAAATTAAAAGAAAACCGGCAAGATGGAATCGGGAGAAATTTGGTCATGAATTGAGACTTCCAAGCTGATAATGCATAGACTGATGGATATGGGAATTCAAACCGGGGAAGGGGAGATTTGAAATCCAAAGGCTGTGTAACCATCTTTGAATTTTTCTATATCTTTTATTTTTATTTTTTACATAACTTACGCATGTTATTTTATTTTGATAGGACGAGTTTAAAAAAAGTGAATTCGGGGAAGGAACTGGGGTGGATGTTGGGAAAATCTTTTTCTTTTCTTGTTAATGATGTGGGACGGTGGTAAGATTTGTGCAATTCAATTTGGATAGTGGGTTAATCAAATTAAGCTTCAAATTGGGAGGGAGAGCTTGTAGAACTAAATTGAGGAAAGGGAATACAGTCGGGGGAGGGGGAGTCCCAGAAAGTAGGCAATGAAAGTAAGGTTTTTAAATATCTTTTTTTCTTTTTCTTTTTTTCTTTGTATTTTTATATTTTTGGAAACTTTAATAAATATGATTTAAAAAAAAAAAAGAACCCACTCAGCAGTACTCACTACCCACTAGGCTCCTTTGACATAACCCCTAGGAAAGTGGCAAACACTTTTTTGTTCCGTCTTGTGAAAAGTCCGATTTAGGTTTTGTTGTTGTTTCATTTTAGTGCATACTTTAAAATTTTGTTTTATGCATTTCTTACCTTCACTGTAAAGTTGCCTTTATTTAAAGCTAAACTGGCAATTTCTAAAATATATGATGACATTATCAAGCGCTTACAAGAAGGTTTGTGTGTGTATGGAATGGCTTATTTGCTACAGCCAAGGAACACAGATATATGAAAAACTAATAAAGAAAACAAAAGCTAGTACTGGGTTTAAACTACAAGAAAATCAAATTTAGATTAAACACTAGAGAGAGCTTTCTAGTTTTCTTTCTAGAGAGAGCTTCTCTCCAAAGAAGGAAATGTGGTGCCCCACTGTTCCACTAGCACAGTTTTATAAATACATAATGATTTGGGTTATCAATCTTCTTCGTTGAGTAATCGTTTACCTCTTAACTGGTTAATCAATTGATTAAATTTAATTAATATGCATGTTATAAAAAACTCCATTTAGATATTGAAGGATATAAACAAGGACTCATGGTTACAAAGCCATATTTAACCCTGCTGCCATTTTTGGTCATAATTTTCCCCCTACCAACTCATCAGCAAAAGCTTCCGTTGAATGATCCTCTGTTTCAAGTTTGCAACAACTCTTTCAGTTCTGCAGAATGCGAACCACTCAAACAACTATCTGATGGCAATAGAGATGAATTGTCCAGCTCACTCCAAATGTCCCTCATTGTATGGAATGGCTTCTTTGCTACAGCCAAGGAACACTGATATATTAGCCCTTCTGTAAGGGTTAATGCTTAATAACAGTCTGTTTCTGTTCATATAAATTTTTGCTCAGTTACCGGTAATTCAAACAAGCAAAGCACACTAAAAAATATAAAGTAAGCTCAGTTTCTCCTATCAATATGTTTCCACAGAAATGGTACTCCTAAGGTGCACTTCCGCTGGTTTTAAACTGTGGAAAGGAAATCTAATCACTCATCCAAGTGCTCAAAGCGGTGTACAACGTCATTTTGTTCATCCTTGCAACAAGCCTAGGAGACAGGCCACTACTTAAGCAAACTAAAACAGAACTAACTAAGTAACTATTATATTTCCCAAACTGGACCTGAAGTTGACACAATGACTTATCTATAAGTGGAAACACATGTTTCAGGAGATAGGGAAGCTGTCGAAAATGGCATCTCCGTGTTAAAGATCTCCCTCTCGCCCCCATAACATGGAGCTTTGCGTACCTCATGCTGCGACATCATTGCATTGTGTGTTTCCTGTCCCCTCTTCACCAGCTGCTGGTGGCAGAGAAACACAAAAATTCAAGATGTCACAGCATGGGGTTAAGATGTAGAACACTTTGGTGGTGGGGGGGGACGTAACACAGGGATGTTATTTTCAGAAGCAGTCTGGTACCTCCCATGATGTGTATCTCTGCCCGAGACTGCCTTGCAAATCTATGGACCCTTCTAGGTGTCCCTTTCACTGCACAATCATGACTATTTGTGCTCATGATGGTATCAGGGCAGTAACACACTATCCTGCTTTCAATACAATTTGTGCCTGCAAAAGCTTGGGAGAGAACATATGGCTTCATTTCCAATCAGTGCATGCCTCATAACCTCCAGCTGTACTCCTGTAACTTTTTTTAATTGCAAATATTTGGGGCAGGGTTGTCCTGCTTTTCTTGTGCTATAGTGCAAGAGTAGTAGTAGTAGTAGTATACCGTCCATCATCTGACAATTACAGGGTGGTTCACAACATAAAAATACAAAATACATAATAAAACAACAACCAAAAAAAACCAATAACCCTCCACCCACAAACACAATTAAATGGACATAGAATGTTAATCAGCCAAAGGCCTGGTTCTAGAGCAATGTTTTCACTTGGCACCTAAAGATATGTAAGGAAGGCACAGGTGAGCCATCCCGGGGAGAACATTCAACAAATGGGGAGCCACCACAGAAAATGCCCATTCCCATGTCACCACCCTCTGAGCCTTTTGTGAAGGAGGCACATAAGGAAGGGCCTCAGATGATGATCACAGATCTAGGCTGGTTCATATTGGGGAAAGGCAGTCCTTGAAGTATTGTGGTCCTGAGCTGTTTAAGGCTTCATAGGTCAAAACCAGCCCTTTAAATTGGGCCCAGAAACTAGCTGGCAGCCAGTGCTTTTGGGCCAGGATTGGTATAATATGCTCAAACCATCTTGCCCTGATGAGCAACCTGGCCACCAAATTCTGCACCAGCTGAAGTTTCCAAACCATCTTCAGAGGCAGCCTGTTCTATAATGCATTGCACAGAGGCCACAGAGGCCACCAAGTGACAGCAAAGGATCCAGAAGTACCCCCAATCTGTGTACCCCCTCCTACAGAGGGATTGTAACCCTATCCAGAACAGGCAAACTCCCATCCCTCTGGCCTAACAGTGCCTCAGTCTTATGAGGATTCCGCTTCAGTTTGTTGGCTTTCCATTACCAAGGCAAGACGAGGGTCCAGCACCTCCACTGCCACCAGATGTAAAGGAGAAGTAGAGCTGTTTGTCCTCAGCATATTGCTGACTACTTCAAAACTCCTACATAAACCCACTGAGTGGTGTCATCTGATGTTAAACAGCATAAGGGACAAAACTGAACGCTGCGGAACCCCACACTGAAGGCTCCACGGGGCCTAAGATCACTCCCCTCAAGAATCACCCCCGGAAACAACCATCCAAGTAGGACCAAAACCGCCACAAAGCGGTGCTGAAACTCTGATTAAAATAGATCTAGAAAAGCAGTTTCCCACTCCAGAAAACAATAATGCAGTACTATTGAGGAAGCATCACAGAACTGACCCACTGACAGGAAAAGATCAAATTCCTCATATTTATGTCACGTCCAGCCAATCCACAGGCTTCATATTGTCTGCCAATCGGAAGAGCCAATGCTGCGCTGTAGTTCCGCTCTGTGCCTGAAGAGGGCTCCAAGGCACTGGCCGCCCTGACGGCTCAAAAGCCAGCCCTAATGCCTTAAGAGGTTCCATTAAAAGGTAGGGGGGAATTATAACTAAACTTGTTCAGGTATACAGTGCAGACATGTGGTGGTGCGAAAACAGCCTGTTTATTCATTAATGCACAAGTTCACATTTGTAAGAAAATGGAGACCACTCCAATATGCATAAAAGCCTGTGGTAAGGCTTAAATTGATTTATGCTGGTTCAGACACTTTATAGGAGCTGCAGAAAGTGATTGAGAAAAAAGCGGGAGGGGGAGGAATATTCCTTTATATTATTTCTTGCTCCTTTAAAAAAAAAAAACTCTATTAACAAGAAACAGCTCTATGCTTGGCAAAAACAGAGATGGATTGTGCCGTCCCTCAGAAGCATAGCGCAGCTGCCAATCAACTGTCATTCTGTTATTGGACTTCACATAGTTTGGCTATCAAACCCCCCTCCCCAACTTCTGTCTTCAAGTTGGCAAGTTAATTTGTCAGTCTGGAAGTAATTTTTAAAGGCTTAGAGCCAGGGTGTGGTGTGTTGGGGAAGGAAGGTTGAAAGCTGTCCCTTTTGCATTCAAACCAGGGTGTGGGAAGGAACTGGAAAGGGCTGGAATTGGTGGCAAACGTTCAATGCAGAACACAATCCTCAAAAGAAACTCAGGCAAATGAGAATCGATTCAGCAGGCATAAGCAGGACACTGAAAGTGTTAATTAATCAACCCCTGCCATTAATCAATGAATCCATCTATCAGAGAAAATGTAAGCACAAGATTTTTTTAAAAAAAGAATGAAGTAATGATAAAACAGGGAACAAGGGTTAGCAGTAGCAAATAAAACAGACATACAGAAGTTATCCCAGAGTTGTTATTCTATGAGAACCACCCACGCCTGCACAAAACAGGCCCTTTAACCCACCTTTATGGTTAACATGGGTCTCAATGGGTTGTTGTTGTGAAGATAAACTGATTGGCCCGCATATGGTGCCTTTGGGCAAAGAACAGGATAAAACGCAATTATTCTCAAGCATTAATAGCTCAGTGGTAGAGTGCCATGTTTTGCATGCACAAAAGTCCCAGAGTGTCAAGTAACAGGTGATGGAAATACCTCCCCTCCTGGAGGGTCAAAAAATGGCCTTGGCACAAACTCGTTAGCTTAATTAAATAAGAATAATAGCAGCCAGTGTGGCTATCTTTTTGATTTCACAGATTCACATTATGGTGGGCACTTACACATCCCTAAAGAGGAGGCAATGCATCACCCACCCACTACAAAAAGAGGAATACAGATTTGCATAAGCTGATTTATTTGAAAGTTATCACTATTGAAATTAATAGAAATAATTTTCAACATAGCATAGAAGACTGTGATTAGGTCATCTGTATGCTTGTTCAGTTTGCTGTCTAAATGCTGCCAATGGCTGGTGGACAACTTCAAAGCCCCTTCTGCTGTCCCGTATTTAACTTTAAGCTTGTCTTGGTCCAGATAGCCCTTCAAATAGATGATATCTTGGAACAAAGAACTGCACTCTAAGATATATGACCACCCTCATGCCATCATATGCACGTTCGCCCAGAACTAAGCCCCAGTGAGCTCAGTTTGACTTACTCCCATGTGTGTGCTGGACATGCAGGCTACATGCATGTTTTTCCATGATGCGTTTGATTCAAACAATAAACAAAGATCCAAGAACAGCTGCTGGAAACTGTGTCCCCGACCAATGAATCAGTGGCCAAAGGGCATGCTTAACCCTTTCCCTCACCAGCCATTTTTCTGCTCAACACCTCCCCCCACCTAAGTTGCTTTTCTAACTGCAGTAGAAAATATTTATATTTCATTTGGTAGGGAGAAAAGCAGCTAGTGGGGCAATATTTAGTAGGAAAAAAGACAAGCAGGGAAGGGGAAAAGCAGGCCTTCTCCGGGTTCTTCCTTTCCTCCCAGAGAAGCATCTAGTTAGCAAAAGAAAATTTGTGGGGAGTTTTTTTAGGGGGCGAGGGATGACAACCACCCAACTGCATCTCATGTGCAGTTTCAGCCTCACTGTGATTAGGTTTAAAATTCACTGTTTCAAATGAATGGCCGTCTCTCTCTATATGAGTCACCAAACCTCTGAGAAGTACAGTTCCTCTAAAAAGCAGAACACGTAATCCTAAGTCTTAAGAAGCCAGAAAGGTGTTTCTCTCCACCCCCCTCAACACACACACATACCCTGACCCCAGGTCAATGACCCCGCCAGCTCCATGTCTCACCTGAGCCTCGACCTGCTAGATCAAAGGTCTTTCAAAGCAGGTGCTCGACAATCAGGTAAACAATAACCTTGTTTCAACAGCCCGTAATTATGTATTTACCTGCTGGCCGTTAGGGACAATTGAGTTAATCATTCACCTTATAAATGCAGTCGTAATTACAGTGTGGTAGGAGAAGTTCAGAACTATGGCCAGTGGTTGTCAGGCAGTATTTTTCAACTTGCGAATTACATCCTATTTTCCCTTCCCATTATATATATTCCCTTTCAGTCTCTGTCAGGACTGAACCCAAACAGAAAGGAAAAGAAATATCCACAGGGATGGGGGGGGTATGTGATACACACATACGCACACACATTAAATAAATATTCTGCAGTGTTGGATTTATTTATTTCCTTAAAAGCAGTTCCGCCCCTTCATAGGTAACAAGACCAGACTGGTGAACAACTTAAAATAATTTTGTGTGTGTGTGTGAGTGAGTGAACAGCATCAGTAAAGATCCCCCACCAAAAAAGTTTTTAAAAATTACAAGCAAGGAAAAAAAAGCAACCAAGACAGAGAAGAATAAAAACAGTCTCCCAACTCCCAAGTAGCCCCCAGACAATGTGGCCAATTGCCTGGGATGATGGAAGTCCAGTAAGTTCCTACCCCTGCTTTATGGGTTTACTCTTGCTCCACCCCATTCCTGGCCCTAAATACACTTTGCCTTCCTGTCAGCTGGCTTTAGCCTGCGGAATGAGATAGCAAAGTGCTGAAGGGATAAGGAGCTGCACCATTTCAGACAGTGACTGCCCATACTGTTTTAAAACAATAACAACAGCACAACCCCATGCAAGTAAAAACTAAACAACAGCAACAGCAACAATTGCTCTCTGCTGTGATAATTTACTTTTCAGTGAGAGTTTCTCAATAGCAGACCATTCAAAGTTGTGGGTCTACTCTCTCTCACAGTCTGAAGTGCTATAGTCCAGCCTAGCACCTCATGACCAGTCAAGAATCACAGACTATGATCCTCATTCTGCCCATAGACAGAAAAAGGCCAAGAGTCACATACAGCCTGAATTCAGGTTATAAACTGAAAAATGCACTGAGTCAGGATTCTCCATTGACATAGAATAACCTCACTTTACATATCAGTGGAAGTTAGAATGGAAAACCAGTTCAGTTTTAGACCAGCAGTACTCATGAGGAAGGCCCAAAAGTCATTGGTAAAGCCCTTGCTTTCCACACAATTCCTGACATTTCCAGGAAGGCTGAAGAGCCTGAAGAGCACATAGCTCCAGATGACTCAAGCAAGTAAACCAAACCACACCACACACTGTAGTGCAAGATGAAGTGAATGAAGCAAAAAATAATAATATCATAGTGCCTCGGTCTGTCTAAAAAGGCATTCTATTCCCAACAGGAACTACCCAACCACTTCTGAGAAGCTCACATGCAGAGTTAAGGCCTTCCCTTGCTGTTTGCCCTCCAGCTTCTGGTATTCAGATAGGCTGCACATGGACATGGAGGTTCCAATTAGTTCTTCTGGCACTCCCTCCTTAACAGACACTTGCTAAGCATGGGTGAACTTCTCTGTTTGCCTCAAGAACAATCTGTGTTGTGTGATCATTCTTCACAAACACTATAAAAACTTTGGGAGATTTTCTAAGTGCTCCCAAGGAATAAGGTCAAAATGCAGGTGGTAGATTAGATACCCTGTCCTCTTCACAGGTTAAAAAACACAGGAACATCCTTCAGGGTCTCAGGAGCCCTTAGCAATTGTGTGTTTCAAACCAGTTTAGTATCCACATCAAGATGCATTATTAGGCAATGATTACTTTCAAAAAATTGTATTACATTTGGCTTTAAAACTACAATGCAACTTCTGAACCACCTCCCTCGTGAGTCTGGGTAAGAAGTCTGTTCATTCATGTTCTGCCAAATCATGGATATTTCTGAGGCTTCACAAGGTCTCCAAGTGTTTCAATCCAGGCTTGGGGGGGGGGGGGGCAGGGGACAAGATTCAAATACCTGCTCTTGAATATATTAAAGTTTCAATTTCAGATAGAGAGCCAATGTAGTGTAGTGGTTAGGGTGTTGGACTATGTAAGACCCTGAAGACCTAGGTTCAAACCCTCACTCAGTTGTACAGCTTGCTGGATGACTTGGGGTCAGTCACACTCTCTTAAACTTACCTACCACCCAGGGTTGTTGTGCAGAGAAAAATGCAGATGGAGGAAGAACTATGTGCACAGCCTTGAGCTCCTTAGAGGAAAGACTGGGCAGAAATGCAATAAATAAATAAATCTGCCATGTATTGCAAGAGCACATGTTACAGTAAAGTTAAAGTTAACTGTTAGAAATTAAGACTGATAGATGTCCTCACAACACTGTGCCTCTGAAGGTCTCATCCACTGCAGCCATCACACGACCCCACCCACCCCCAAATAAGGGGGTCCAAAGGTTAGCCCTGTTTCCTTACAACACAGCTGAATACTGCTGATTCTGTTGCCACTGTCAGGCTCCTTGCTGAAAGACAGGTTAGAGCCACACTGCACTCAAACTGGATTCAGCTCATCTGATTATACCAACTGCCTTGCTGGAATATATAATCATCTCTCTCGGATGACATTTTAAATATCCAACTAGACAAATAATTGCAGCAATAATTGATAGCTGAATCAAGCTGGAAGATTACAGATTGGCACCCAGACCCAGAGAAACAAGCTCACATCTTTCACACACATTATCAGAAGAAGGCTTGATTCCGATATTCTTCCTCTCCCTTGTGGTGATGCGGGGATGATTTAGAGAGAAATCCACTGCAACAGAATCTGTGCATGGGGATTTGATTACTTTCTACCACCTCCCTTTTTGGGGGGAGGAAAAAAAGGGGGGGGGAATTAGGCCGAGTGATTTATGTTTTGCTTTGTGCAAATAATGACAAGGATAAGGAATTGCTCATAAACACACTCCAAAACAGCTTAAAAAGAGTTGTTCATCCAGGCTGCAGCCTTCAGATAGGTTAATCTTGAGCAGGAAAACTGAATATATATCTATTCTTAATATCCTGTCACACTCTAGTGTGGCCAAGATCAATATGGGACTCCATAGACAGCTAGGGCCCCTTGTGGTAGCACCAGAACCCTAATTCTGGATTATTTCAGCTCCTATACGCCACGGGAAGGGACGCGGGTGGCGCTGTGGGTTAAACCACAGAGCCTAGGACTTGCTGATCAGAAGGTCGGCGATTCGAATCCCCGCAAAGGGGTGAGCTCCCGTTGTTCGGTCCCTGCTCCTGCCAACCTAGCAGTTCAAAAGCACATCAAAGTGCAAGTAGATAAATAGGTAACGCTCCGGTGGGAAGGTAAACGGCGTTTCCGTGCACTGCTCTGGTTTGCCAGAAGCGGCTTAGTCATGCTGGCCACATGACCCGGAAGCTGTACGCCAGCTCCCTCGGCCAATAAAGCGAGATGAGCACCACAACCCCAGAGTCGGTCACGACTGGACCTAATGGTCAGGGGTCCCTTTACCTTTACTATACACCAGGGGTGAGAGACCTTTTTCAAACCAAGGGTTACGTTCTCTCATAGGAAACACTCTGGGGGCTACATTTCAGTGATGGGTGGAGCCAAAGGCAAAAGTGGGTGGAGTAATGGAATGGATTCTTACATTTGCTTCTACATCACACACAGACACCTGTCCTCTGCCTTCCACCCTATCAATTCCAGTGGACACCAGGAACCACTAATGAGATCCTATGCCTGTCTACCAATTTCCTGACCTCCTCCTGTATTACTTATTCAATGGTAGGCAATTCTGTGAAACACAGTAAAGGTGCCGCAATCCTTCAACTTTCAGGTTGGTCAGATTTAAGAGTCATGTGACTGTATGTGGTTCTTTCATATGTAGAATTCATAAATTTTATTTGTTTTTAGAAGTTTCTATCCTTTATGAAGATATGTTTGCAAATGGGCCTGCCATAGCAAGTGAGATTGCAAAAGCTGAAGAGGTGCTGAAATAGATTTACTGCGACTGCTGGCGAAACTTCAGCATCCTTCATGGCTTTTGGTCTGTCCCTGTGACTAGCAAAAATCTGAATAAAGTATGTAAAATGATAATAATGAAGCAGAATAAATTACACACAAAAGAAACTATGCACAAGATGAGAATTTGTGCAAATTTGCATGACTTCTACATGGTGCATAGTTCAGATTTTTGTTTGTTTTTACTGTAGTCCTGGACATTAAGCCCATCTGCTGCATAGCCTAATCAGACCTTTCTACGGTGATTTTTGGCCAGCCAAGGCAAACGATGAATCTATCTATTTAGAAACAAACTGCGAGCGAAGACACAATATTCTGTAGTTGTGTCCTCATCAGATATACTGGGGAGGGGCTACCAGTTTAGCGGTTCTCAACCTGTGGGTCCCCAGATGTTGGTGGACTACAACTCCCATCATCCCTGAGCTCTGGCCTTGCTAGCTAGGGGTGATGGGAGTTGTAGTTCAACAACATCTGGGGACCCTCAGGTTGAGAAAGGCTCTCAGATTTCCTGGGGAAAGGGTTAGCTCTGCTCACCTCACACTTTACATGTTTTAAATGAAGCTGTTTCTTTGAACTTGCCCCTCATGAGCTGCAGGCACTAGTCTGGCTTTCATGATCCTGGAGATTTACAGTTAGCAAGTTTAAGGAGGATGCAACAAAAGAGAGCAAGCACCTTCGTTTGGCCCTGCCCGTCTAGTCAGCAGGAACAGCCATTCTGAGGGTAAAGGTTCTCCTCCAGAAGCCTTGTGGGAATTTGCATATTTTGTTTCTTCAGATTAAACAAACATTGGTGAAAACTTCATTTGTATAATCGACTAACAATAGCTTTTGATATTCACTCCCCACCCCCCACCTCACCAACCATGCTACATTGAACTCAAAATGTCCATTCAGGCAAGTTCATTTGAAAGGAATGGTTTTGTGAAAAGGGGAAGTTTGTTAGCGAGCACAATCAGGTTTCTAAAATTATTGTTTCTCCATTTATTTATTTTTCTAAAGTGCAAGCAATTGTGGAGCAGAAACCCCACACTAACTGTTTCTTGATTTTAAGAAGCAAGTTGAGCCATGCCTTTTGCAAAAGCAACCACTTTCAAGGCTGGGTACTCTGCAAGGAAGTGTACCATTTACCCAATTTACGTATGTTTTACTGTTTTCCTTAATTTAATTTTCTAATTGCTGCAATGGGACACAGAATTCTAGGTCACTGTATCCCATCCCTTACCAATGGATATGTATGTCCAGTCTCATCTCTAGCTTCTGTTATTACACCAGACATGATCTATGCAGAGTTGAACATTTTGTAACCTTGCTTGCCTGATACTATGTTTTGTGCTTGCAAATTGTAATCATGAATTACACTGAGCCCTGACCACCCTGATAGTTGTTTAATAAGATGGGCTCAGTTCTGATGCTCTTCCCCACCCCAGCAACTACCTCAAGAGGAAATTACTAAAAACATGACTCTTTGCAAAACAGATGCTGTTGGAAACAAGCTTAAAACATTTATTTTCCTTATTTACACAAATATTATATGTTGTTTTTCCCCTCCCAAAAGGAGTCCCACATGGACATGATGGACCAGTGATGGGTTTTGGCTCTATCTTTCAGACTTTCCTCTTCAACTTATGAAGGCTTGCCTCTTCAGCTGGTTCCATTTGTTCTACATGCACTTTAAAAGCACAATTTGGGAGGGAAGAGCCACAAATGTGATCAAAGTTGGCCAAAAAGATTATAGGCTGCAGGAGACCAGCAAGTCATCAAGTCTAATCCATGAGCCTCAAAATTGGACATTTTGTGCATGATCACTACCGCCCCTCCCTTCTCCCCAGATTAACACACATCATCAAAACTAGAAGCAGATAATGGCTGCAAAGTGCATCTCATCAAGGCATCTAAAGAGCACAAAGGTTTAGATGGCACGAGCTAATCTGTACAGGAAAGCAAAAAAGCAAATAATTCGCAGGATCACTATGCACACTGGTATGGGACAAAAATATATTCCGGGGCTCAAATATCACAACCAGATAGGCCCACTCAGGGTTATTTGAATGGTGGCTTTCTTTTCATTTCTTTTAGCTTACAACTCAGTCGTAAGTATGTTGTTGTTGATGTTGTTGTTGTTTAGTCGTGTCCGACTCTTCGTGACCCCATGGACCAGAGCACGCCAGGCACTTCTGTCTTCCACTGTCTCCCGCAGTTTGGTCAGACTCATGTTTGTAGCTTCGAGAACACTGTCCAACCATCATAAGTATACTGCATGTGTAATTCATTGTGTTCACATATAAACACCAATAGGGAAAATGAAGCCTACCAGCTGCTCCTCAGCATATTTACTTAAAAGTGCGCCCCAGTGCAAGTAAGACTGACATCCTGTTACATGTCCTTTGGATTGAAAATAAAGGCTGCCACTGCAGCAGCCTTCACAAGGACAGCAAAAGAAAATGGATGGGGTCACAGAATCCTAGAGCTGGAAGGGACCTTGCAGGCCAAACCCTGATGTAAGAATTCCAGGGCAAGAGCATGCCTTAGAGATGACAGTGAAGTCTCTGTTTGAAAACCTACGGTGAAGAAGAGACTACCATGTTCAAAGGTAATTGGTTCCACAGTCAAACCAGCAACCATCTTGCTTCACACATCTTATAAAGATTTGTCTTTTTCCCTGGGCTTTCCGTAACTCTATTTTATGTACTTGAATTCTCTGAATCCCTGTTTCATTTGCTGTTATATGCTTTTAAAATGTTCCTTTATTATTATCGTTTGCATTTTTGTTTTAATTATATTGTTTTTATATTGTGCATAGTGTATACCACTTACAGATTTTTGAAGTGCTAAGTGGTTTAGAAATGCTTTTAAATCAGTAAGACATTCCTTCCAGTGTTTAACCAAAATCTACCCTCCTGTAACTTAAGTCCCTTAAATCTCGTCCTGCCCTCAGGGGAAGCAGAGGCAAGTATTTGCCCTCTTTTACGTGATAGCCTTTCGAGTATTTGAAGAGTGCACCCAGGTCTACCCACAGTCTTCAATTCACCTGGCTAAACATACAAAAGAGGTAACATGATAGAAGGGTATAAAAAGTATGCATGGCATGCAGAAAATGGATGGAGAGAAATTTCTCTCCCTCTCGTAACACTAGAATTTGTGGACACTCATTGAAGCTGAACGTTGGAAGATTCAGGACAGACAAAAGAAAGTGCTTCTTCATACAATGCACAGTTAAACTATGGAATTCCCTCCCACAAAATGTAAGGCTGGCCACCAAATTGGATGGCTTTAAAACGGATTAGACAAATTTAAGGAGGATCAGGCTATCAATGACTATGTTGTACCTCCAGTGTTGGAGGCACTGTGGTTCTGCCTACCACTTGCTGTGAACAGCAGCAGGAACCCTGTAAGTCCTGCTTGCAGGGTTCCCACTGCTGGCCACTGAGAGAAAAGGATGTGGTTCCTTAAACTTCCCCTCAAAGACTCATTTTTTCATACTGCTGACCATCTTTGTTTAGCTTCCCTCTGAACCTGGTTCAAGTTTGCCCATATAAGTGCAGCACCCAGAACTGGACACAATTCTTTAGACAAACAAGCATCCCTGCATTGCAGGGGGTTGGACTAGATGGCCCATGGGATCACATCCAACTCTGCAATTCAATGCGTCTATGATTCTAAGCAGTTGAAGCTGGAAGTAGTGGAAGAGTGAAGTTCATGAATACGGAAATTTCAGGATCAGAAGATGCATATGTTTTGTTTAAAAACTATGGCAGCTGAATATAACAGGAATAAAATATTTTGGTGTCCAGCAAAACCAGGGCCCTGTTAGTGACTGGCCCAAGGCCAATCAAGATGGAATGGAAACGCTCCAATGTTAGGCTCAAATCCAATGAGCTACCTCCTAGAATGGGGTGATGAAGACTTCCAGAGTCCTTATGTCAGTGAAGGCAGATCCAGATGCAAAAGTTGGGGGGGGGGAGCGCAATGGCTTTAATTCCAGCCACACAAAAGTCTAGGTTTCTTCAAACACACAGCAGCACAGAGGCATCATCTGAGTTCAAAGACACATTACAGTTTGGCAGAAGCAGTCTATGAGGATGCAGAACAGGGCATGCTTAGGGAGGGTAGTGAGCTGGGAAGAAGGCATAGCTTAGGGAGGGTCCCAAGGGGCAGAGAGAGAGGTCTGGAAGAGCTGCATTCGGCCCTCAGGTCTGCGGTTCCCCACCCATGCCTACAAGAACACTGATTTCTGGGGCAATCCCACTCCCCCCCCCAAGTTACCACATTTCCCCCAAAAGTACAGAATTGATGATAATATACCCTATACCATCTCAACAATAGACACTCCCAACAGCTAGGTGATCACAAACCAAAATTTCCCATAGACGACAAAGATGAAGGGTGAATTCACACATGACATGCTTTTTTATTACACGCTACCCGCAGATACCATACAGCTAGGTGAATCACATTCTGAGCTTGTGAAATGGTATCACGGCTAAGCCAAGGCAGATCAACTTCTCATATCAAGACTATCACCTGAGAGGCATCCTATATTCATCTCTAAACAATTTTATTTATGATAGGCTTATTTTTATGTGCTTCCTTTCCAAACACAATGATGTCCAGGGTGATGTTGTGATAAGAGTGCTGGAATAGTGGTGTTTCCAGATGACCTGTTTATTGAGAATTCATCTTGATTTGTAGGGAGACCATATTACATTGGCTATTTATTGAGCATTCATTCTGATTTGATGTGGAAAGGTTAAACAATACAGTGCCATATCAAATGTTATCCCATCACTGTCACTTTCCTTACTGCAAAAAAAGTCCTTTCTTTTGGAGTTTGTTGCACAGTAGCTCCTAATGAACTGTAATTGTGTGACCCGAATTCACCTGTATTGAATCCAACCCCAAAACAGAAACAGTTTAGAAGCATCCTAAGATTTGAGAGACCAGGATTCAAATCTTCGTTCAGCAGAGTAGCTTTTGGCCAGCTCCAGCCCACCTGACACGATTGTTGTGAGGATAAAATGAAGACGGGAGATGCCATCTTGAGCTCCTTGGAGGAAATTTGGGATATAAATGCAATAATGTAACGTAACCCTTCCTACTTATTCAGATCTTGAGAGGATTCCCTGCTCTTAGTAGCTCCACCTTCTTTTATTAGGCTGACAAATACATACTGGGAGTTGGGGGTTTTACTTATTGCACTCCCAGAACAGGAAAACATAGCAACGTGGCTTCTTCTCCACCTGGACTTTTTCAAAGAATTGTTAAGGCTGTCATACACTTGACAGCTTTCAAGGGAAGCAGTCAGTGTCACACCAAAGCATATGGATTTATTTACTTCAAAACATATAACCCACTCTTCATACATAAGTATACTCCAGGTAGCATGCAAGATTAAAATACAACACATATAGTGTAAAATAAAAAATAAAAAAATCCTAAAGGAATGACCAGGAACTGTCAGTTGCAATAAACACAAAAGCAATTTAAGGACCCTTAAAAAAAAAAAAAGCCTACTAAAATAAAACAGCTTTCAATGAACACATTAACGCAGACCAATAGCCTCTCTCTATTGACACACTGTTCCATAATCTGGGTGCCACAACCAAAAAAGGCCTTTTCTCTTGTCCTTGAAGAGGGGATAAACAAACTTTTCACACTCTCCCTTCCATGACTACCTCCTTATGAAGACCAGTCGTGCCAGAGGCTATCAAACAAGTTGCCAAACAAGTGTTTTCAGGGATCCGAAGTAAATTAAAAGGGGAAGCAGAAACAGCATCCAGCTCAATTGCCCCTCTTCATGGCTAACTTTACTCTGCCAAGCCCCACTCGTACACAAATGTAGCATGAACCAAATGACGAGATTGGTTGGGAAGCTGGAGTACTCTGAGGGTTTAGCACAAATGCACCTGAGACCCATTTTGTTAAGTTTTTTTAAGAATAAAAAGGAGAAAGAAGTGGGCAAATAAGATACAGAACATTCCTTCAAGAAAATAATAATAATAATAAGAAGAAGAAGAAGAAGAAGAAGAAGAAGAAGAAGAATTTCTATCCTATTATTAGCTACTTATAAAGATGCTTCTGATCATCTCATGTGATGGGTAGTTGAGCTGAGAGGTTTTAAGGGACAAAGACTATATGGTGACAGTCTACTTTAAGGGGCTTGGGACCAAGGTGAGATTTGACTGGCAGCTGGCCATAGTCAGCCAATCACAAGCCATGTAGAAGTTAAAGAGCATCGGGAATAAGAAAGAACTCTGTGGCCTCCAGAGTGCTGGAGGCCATGGGCTGAAGCAGCCTCTCTTCCTCCACCACCTTCCGTGATTTAATGTCCTTGAAGGACAGGAGCTGCTGTAAAACAGTAACCCAAACACACTAGTTTGCTGACGGCTGCAACCATGACTTGTTAATTTAGGTATCACACTAAACCATGACTAAGTTTCGTTAACCATGGTTTGGCATGATGTCTGAATTGTTTCGCTGCCTGCTTTTATTCTGGTTTTTCACTACTGCTACTGTAATTTGGCTAATTTAAACCATTTCTTTTTTGCTTGTTTTATTTTAATTTTAATGCAAGCCACCATTGGGGGCCTTTTTGGGCAGAAAGGCATTAACACATATACAGGCACAAACATAGATGTACTAAGGACATATAAAGAAATGCTCTTGATGGTTGCTTCCCAACCAAGAATATAATTAGAAAGACAGCCAACAACCCACATAAAGAATGTGGCTGTACAATAAGAATAATGATTTGCCACTCACTAAGGCATAAGCCTTGATATTATAAGGAATGGAAAATATCACAACCAAGAAAATAAAACCCCAAGTTAAGGAATTTGTATGCTCCCAAAACATCCAATACTTTAATACATGTACTGGATATACACATATGTATTTCTGGAGGATTTGTGTGTTTTCTTTTTCTTCCAGAATCTCAATGTGAGGGGGGGAAAGGGAAACAGCTATGAGGGATTTTATACTAGTGGTCAAAAGGTATGAATGCAACAAAACATACATTTTGCAAATACATCTACTGCTGCCTACGTACACTTGCCAGAATTAGCTGCAGCTCCCTGTTGGGTAGAAATTTTGTGGCAAACCTGGGTTAGTCTACACATATTGTGTGAAATGGCCTTTGACATACTTAGCGTTAAGATTAATCTGTCCCTAACTCCTGCTAAACTGACCGTTGTCTTGCCTGCAAAGCCAGCTAATCTAGAAATTCTTCTGTATAAATTGCACTTGTTCATCATGCGCCGGTTCTCGTGCGCTAGCTGCTCACATATTAGCATAATGAAATGTGCAGTGATATTATTTATCTAGGGTTGGATCTAATTGCTAAGGGAAACTAATTAAAATGGGGAAAGGTGTGGGAAGCCTGAGAAGAATCTATTGCTCATGGGCAGCGAGAGCTGCTGTAAGATTTTGCCTGTGCTGCCCCTTCTCAAGACCAGTTCCTCACAGCTTCACACTCTCACTACAGGCAGCACATTGGACAAGTTTGGCTTGAAGTTTAACTGAGCTTAGGGGTACTTCAGGGATCAGGGCACCAAGTCAATCCCTCAAGGGGCACAATCCTGCGCTATCTGGGTGGAAAGCGAAGCGAAGAGACACCCGCCAGAGTTCCAAGACACTCCAGGCAAAACCAAACCAAAATTTGAACACAAAGCTGGGCCACACAGTAATGATTTGCCGGCTTTATAAGTGAAGATGAACCATTTGGACTATTTAATCGAGTGTCACAGCAGTCTCTTGCCCCTAAAACCAGCCTTGACATACCATTAGGGCATACATACCACACCTTGCACCCATAACACTAGGGCCAGAAGTGCCTACTCAGTGGGGAAGTGTGCTGCAGCCTGGGAAACTGGATAAGATGGAGAAAGGTGAAGGGAAGGGAATAAGCTGGGCTGGCCTACTGTGTCCTTCTCCCTTTCACTAGCATTCCAGGAGAAGAGGAACAGCTCTTACCCTTTGTTGCTGAGTGGCTTAGGAAGGGAAAAGGGAGGAAAAAAGGAGTAAGCCTTGCCCACGCCCTTCCTCCTGCTCACCTACACAAAGGGCCATTGTGCCCTGCTCTCTGCATACAGACTGCAGTGTTATGTCCCAAGGATATTTGCATTTCCTCCTTTCTTCTTTTTTTTCTCCATCCACCACCACCCCTCCCCATTGCAGCATCAGGATTGTTTCCCCAGCAAATTCCCATGTGCAGCATTCCAGGCCTAGGATGGCATTTACAGAATGCAATCAGATGTGCAAGAGGAAAAATTAGTTGCCCTGGGTCACTTGTCCTTCTCTTCTGGTACAAAGCTTTCACCCCTCACTCATCAGCACTTCTCTTCCTGCTGCAAGATCATTCTTGGCCTCAAAAAAATATAAATAATCAATGAAGAGTCCCGAGTTCTCCAAAAACTCTGATACCAGGTGCAGAACTAAAACACATTTATGCAAAACTGACATTAAAATGTGAATGATTCACATCCGTTATTTTAAGCAAAGAATTAGCATTTTCTGGATGGAGCTTCTTTGGCACGGAAAGAACATGGATTTATTTATTTATTTTAAGCACAGGGTAGAATCCAATGATACTAATGCTCAGAGTAGAGTCACTGAAGTTAGTCAAAATGACTAAGGTAGGTTTGTGAATGGGACTACTCTGTGTAAAACACCTTTTTAAGGCAATTCTAGTCATGTTCATTAATGATTCTACTGGGCGGGCAGAAAAGACAGTATTTTTCTGCATATCAACAGTGTTGGGGTTTGTAATGGTGGTGGCATTAATATTAGTATTGTTATTGGTAATAACAAGAACAACAAAACTTAGTATTTACATTGCACACTTATCTGCTCTCCCATCACCTATTTTTAAAACAGAGGTGCCCAACCAGTAGACTAGCAAGCAAACATCCGTGGCACTTCTGGAGAGAAGTTCACTGTAGCATACGAAACAGGTGGGAAACCTGCAACCCTCAGTCCAGTTTCATGTAGCCTTTGCCCTAATTTTATGTGAATGGAAAGGATTTTTTTTTTTAAAAAAAGAGAAAGGGGGTGATACAAACCCTCCAAGTGTCCCTATTTTCCAGGGACATCCCTGAGTTTCTGATTTCATCCAAGAATGTCCCGCTTTTCCTTAGGATGTCCCTATTTTCATCAGAGAAAAGTTGGAAAGTCTGGGTGGCAGAAATGAAGGGTACAAGTACTGTGGTTCCAACCCCACCTACTTTTGTCTCACTGCGTGTATATTGCCCCTAACGTTTCAGCCTTGAGAGGATGTGTCCCTCAACAGAAGAAAGGGCCCTTGCCCCTGGTAAACAGTCAGGTGTTGCACTCAAAAGCTTTAAAACCCTGCTGAATCAGACCAAAAGCCCATCTAGCAATCCATTTCCAGCTGGGTCGGATGACATACCTAAGAGCATCCACATTTAACCTCAGGACTCATACTCAATATTGCACATAGATTTAGATAAAATGCAAGCCTACATGTTTACAGGGATGTACCACAGACCTTGGTGACCCCATAAGAATAGAGACAAGATGTTCAAAGCTTCCCAGCCTGATCACCAGTAGGCGATTCCCATGTGCCATGGGATGATGTCACGATATATGGTATACACAGATGTTACATGTTGTGATTGGAAGGTGAAGAACTCAACACAGAGGTGCCGGTTCCAGTTGAGCTTGAAATGTGTAGTTTTACAGGGAGAAGAAGAAGAAAGTACACCTGTGCTATTAAAGCAATGCAGCCAAGCCTCAATCCTCTAGAGAGAGCATCTCCTCGCTGTCAGTGAAGTGGTGATTTGTGAGGAAATGCTTCCCATCTACTGTCACCTTGGGGCCCAGCATGATTCAGTTCCTCGTTCAAGAGGGAAGGGTGTTTTTTTTTTAAAAAGTGAGTATTTTTATGACAAACTAGCACTGATACTTTTGACCTCACTCACTATCATATGAGAGAGAAGGGAAATGATGCAATAACTATGCATTATTATTTTTTTTTCAAAAAGGAAAAAATGCTTTAAATTGCTAAGGCAGTGGTTTTTAAACTGTCTTTTGAGGTTCCTCAGAAACTTATCAGGGTTCCCTCAGTGGTAATATTAACAATGGCAAGCAACATGGATGACTCTTAAAGGGTATTAAGAAAAATACTTGGAGGATAAGGCTGTCAATGGCCATTAGCCCCAACAGTTATGTTCTACCAGCACTGGGAATTACAAGTGGGGAGAGCCAGTGTGGTGTAGTGGTTAAGAGCGATAGACTCGTAATCTGGTCCTTTTTTTCCAGGTCACCCCACATTAAAGTATTAGGTATATTCCTTAAACTGCAGAACAGAGAATGGAAAAACCAACCCAGCTATCTGGAGCTATGCTCAATCTATTATTATTTCTAAATTAGCATCATCTTCAGCACACAATGATTAGAATGAAACCTAAGATAGACAAGAGCCTATCAGGTAAGAGTAGAAAGGCTTGAGTCTATGTGAAACAACTTTCTGCAGATTGATCCAATTTATTTCACCAAGGTAACTGGATTTCAGGGGTTAGAACTAACGCCTGAAAATAAATAAATAAATTTTAAAACACACACACACAATTGTCCTGTATGTAATAAATCAAAGAGTAAATAAACAAACTAAGGCCATTCTTGCTGGAGTGTGTGTGCTGGTGGCCCAGCTTTCAGGATGATAGATTTATATGCATGTTTTTAAGGATATTATTCCTGCAACCTGATTCCTATCTTTGGTTATTGGGCCATATGGCAAGGGGTTTAAAAACAATTTACAAAATGCCCAAGAATATATTAACTTTGTCGTAGCCAGATGATGCATTGAAGCATAAATTACATCTCCCAGTAAGGTCCTGCCTGACCCAAAAGAATTCATCCCAAGGGATGGCAGGCTTGAAAAAGCTCAGCTTGCCCTATGGCAATGCACAGTTTACATTTTCACTGAGAGAAAGAAATACTGACATACAAATATATAAGATCCTAGGTCTCACTCACTCAGGGTACATCTATGATTGCTGGAAGAATCTTAAAATGGGGCATTTTAGGGCTCTTGATTAAAATTAAGCCCTATGTAGAGTAATTAGGCAGACAATATTCTTGGAACCTTATGGAAAAAGAAACTCTCGCAAAAAGGGAAGATCAAAAGTGGAAGAATCAGGCATAACAAATGAGCATAAGCTGGCTGCAGTGGAAGGAAAGACCCACAACTCATGGATTTAAGGCATTCTGAGATGTAGGGGCAAGTGAATTTCCGCCCACTTCTACACACATCTATTCACTTACCTAGGGACCAAACTCACATAACCATCTCCTGATGATGATTGTTTTTGCTATTTTTATTGATGATGGTGAAAATCATAACACAAACAACAACAGCAGTAGTCACGGAACTGGGGAACTGCTATAGCTTAGTGGTAGAACATTCAATCTTTGTCATATCCAGGTTTAGCTGGGAGAGACCCCTGAAATCCTGGGCCAACGGTTCAGTTCGAGTGGGTATAAGGCAGCATCCTATGTTATTATGAGCACCGCTTAACCCTTTCCACACCAGCTGTTTTCCTCCTAGAATCCTCCTACACTACCAGTATTTTTTTTAATCCCACCAGTGAATTTTCTCCCACTGGTGGAAATGCAGTCTGAAAGAAAGCATTTGGGTGGAAAAAGAGCTACTGGAGAGGCAATTAAGCATCCTCCCATCCTGCTCTCCAGGAGTGGCTAACCTGCAGCCCACCAGATGTTGATCAACCGTGGCTGCTTTCATCCCTGACCACTGGCCAGGGGCTGAAGGGAGTTGCAGTTCAGCAACATCTGGAGGGCCACAGGTTAGCCACCCCACACTACACAAACTGGCCAGTTCTCGCTGCTGCTTTTCATTTGAGGGGGAGGGGGGGAGGCTAGGAGTCTAATCCATGCATCTGCTATGTGAGATTTATTTAGGCGCAAGCGTATTTAGAATTGCAGTGCCAACAGTTGTAGTCAGGAACCTCAACAGAATGGAGGACAGTTCCACCTTCACACATCACAGCTCTCTTGGGACTGGGGTGGGAGATTTGCAGAGGTAGCCAGGAACATATCTAGGTCAGAAGAATGCAAACTATATTTAACAGTTGCACAAGAGCAGAGGAATGCACTGAGTGTCTCATGCCAGGCTGCAGTATCACTTCACCCAGGACAAGACTTAAGTACCAGACCTCCTGTATGCTCCAGAAATCTTTGCAACATGGCTCTCAAAGGGCCCCCTTCTCATAACATCAACCTCAAGGGCGCAGCTCAGCAACAAACAACACAAGCGGGGGGTGTTTCTGTGTCTTAGCTGAGCTGGAGAGAGAGAGATGCCTCATGTCTGAGGAAAGGGACTGATACTGCAACAGAAGTGGGAGAGACCTAAGGCAGAAAATCCAAAATGGCTCCCTCTTCTCTCTGTAAACATAACCATAATAATACATGAAATCAGTGACAACCTGCTGTCATTTGATCTGCACCGCTGCCTCATCCCTGCTTCTGCAGGGGCTGACCCTCAAGGTGACAAGCAGTGAGCAAGTATGGGATTCCTGGCTCTTGTCCTAACAGCCACGTCTCTGTGACCAGCCTTGTGTGGATGTGAAGGACACCCACTAGAACAGTAGGATGGCCTTCACAATGGAGAAAAGGGCCTTTTTAGCATCTGTTACCTTTCACAGAGAGCCCTTTACATTTACCAAGATAAGCGTTTCGTTGGAGGGAACACACACTTCAGTGTGTTAATTGGTAGCACTTAGCTACCGGTGAGAGCCTTTGTATGAGAGCCTAATGCACAAATTAATGGCGTAATCTTCCTTGCTATTCAGTGGACCAGCTTCTGAAACTCTTCCACATAAAAGGAGCGTTCAGTGCAAACGGTGCATTACTGAACTCAACGGTAACCGCTCAAGGATCAAACTGCTGGGCAATGTGAGGAAGAGGCATCAGGATTTGGTTCTTCTGCTGATTAACAAGTTTGGGATAGCGAGGAAGATACCACAGAGAATATCCTCTGGCTGGGTCAGCTGCTATCCATAGTTTAGATTTGGAGCGGGGGTAATTTTTCGTTCTGTTCTTAACAGGGTGAGTTTAGAATCTGTCTAGAGATGTGCCTCTCTTTCCTCAAAAACTGGCAAAATGGGCAGTCATGGTAAGAAACAGGAAAAACCTCCATCTTCATGGCACTACGGTATCAGGAAATGAGAGGGGAGGTGGATGAGCTTGGAAGACAACAGTGAGACCATCTAGGAGAGTCTAAGAGATAAACATGGCATAAAACAACGCATACTGGCTCATTCTTGTCCACTCTGCCTGACAGCCACTCTCCACAATTTTAAACTAGGGTCTTTCCCTCTCCTCTCAGGGGATGCCAGGAATTGAATATGAGACCTTCTACATGCAAAGCATGTTCCATACCACTAACCACACAATAGTAAATATGTCTATTCAGAAGTCAATCCCACTGTGTTCATGTTCTCATGTAGGTGGGCATGCAGCTCTAGTCAAGCAAGGGAGCTGAAAAAGGAAGGAAGCAGTCTGCCTACAAGCGCTGCTTCTCTGGATAGCAACATCTCCATGACTCTATGTAAGGCCTCACACCAGGTTGCACTTCCCATTTCTGGATCCAATTCATACAGCCAGCTTTTCAGATTCAAACCTGTCCTGCAATTAAAGCCCTCATTTGAAAGCGCAATGAGGGATTAAGGTAGAGAGGGGATGAACACACAAACCCTGCTGTCAACTCCCATCCTAAATATTGCACATTTAGTGCAAAATTGTGAAAGGGAATTCAAACTGCATTCAGAAGGTGATTAGAATCATCCCTACAATCTGGAACTTCTCACAAGGGGGGATTCTAAAGGCATCTACTGTGGAGGTTAGCAGAGGGCAGGGTGGTCATATGGGGACACAGGGATGGAGCAAGTGTCCATCCCACAGGCCCCTGCCCAGGTTTAGGGCACATGCCTTTGAATATCTAAAGAAAGCTTAAGTCAGTTTCAAAAGAGAGGGACATTTGATAACAGCTTCAATTTATTGTAGCAAATGAATTACAGTATGTATTTATTTATTCAGAATGTAGAAACCACTCTACATTCAACAGTACATGAATAAAACAGAAAACTGACCATAAAGCATTATTCAAAACGTAAAAGCCAGCAAGACATAAAATAGACTGCCTGGAAGTAAACAAACAAGCATTGAAAACAATACGGTATCAGAGCTTGCTTCGCTTCCAAAGGGAGAGAATTCCAGAGGACTGGCACCACGATATTATAAGCACATGCCTGAGTCACAGCATGATTTACTGTAGGGGTGTGTGGCATCACCAACAGATCTTCATCCATAGATCTAAGTGGGTGGGAGAGGCAGCTTCTCAGGTACTCCAGTCCAGAACCATCTAGGGTTTTGTACACCAGTTACAAAACCTTGCATCTAGCTCGGTACCAAATTGGCAGCCAGCGCAAAGCATTCAGCAGAAGTTTCAAATGTTGTCAATAGCCTGGCAGCATTTTGCACCACCTGCAGCTTCCAGACCAAATTCAAGAACGGCCCCACATGAAGTTCATTCCTTATTGTAAATCTTATTTTAAATACAGCCCAATTATATGCAAGTCTACACAGACCGGGCTAATGAATTCAAACTTCTTAAATGAGTTGTATTGCTGCAACCACAATCTCATCACTACCATGACAAACATGTCTTCAGCCACTACGAAACACACCATACTAGCTCTTTTACCTCTGGGTAATACAAGTAGCAGAAGTGCATGTCATGAACCTGGTGAAATTCCTTGTGACTCATTCCAAGAAACTCAAGAGAGCAGCTCTGGAGAACCATCATCTTCTACATAATTATAACTGTGCTGTGGCTTCACATTCTTACCATTATATAAGTGAAACAGCCTTGGAATTTGGCAGGAATTAATAGCACAATGCTACAAGCAGGTCCTTTCTTATACTGAACAGATAAGAGGCATGTAAATATAAGTTGAACCCTGCTGAATCAGACCAAAGACTTATCAAATCCAAGAGCCTTAAAGACAGTTAAAAAAAAACCTGGGCCAACCAATAGGTCAGAGGATGAAGTTCCATGATCTGACAATTATATTGAGTAACAGTGGCATAAGGCACATTGAACAACAGAACAAAGAAAAGATGCAGGGAATCCTGCCTACAAAAACTCCGTCCAAACTCTTTCCCCCTTAAAAAAATTTAAAAAGCCTATTCTTATTGTTCACTTTGAGTACAGCCCAAAAAATGTAAAGTGCTTATTTTACCTCAGTTATTTCATTTAAAATACACTATGCACATCATATGTAGTTTGAAGGGTTTTTAAGTATTTGTGGTCTCTTTTGTTGGAGCAGGATCCGCTACACCTGTCTTGAATTTGTATACATGTGTGTATGTTTGTTTTTCAGGTTTTTATTGACTGAGTTTATTTCAATTGATTTTAATATTTAGTATTGTGTTTGTGATGATGATGATGATAATAATAATAATAATAATAATAATAATGGTGTGGTGTAGTAGAGTTACATGAGAAAGCAACAGATAGATAGAAATGTTCTGGCTGAAATTACCATCAGGTTCACCTCCTAAACTCCTTCCTGATGCCCTTGGCAATCCAGTTAAGATTTGACAGCATTTAAAGATGACAGTGCTTGAGGTAATGGGACGGTGCCATAACAGGATTACAGGAAAATGTGAAGGAAAGGGCATACGGACGTAATGTCATTTCGGTAACAGCATCTGCAATCAGTTTGGGGGCTTTTTGTTTTGTTTGGGAGTACTGCTGACTGTTCCTTTAACACTGTATTACAACCAGGAAGAGTTTACTTCTACTGCATGATATAAAGAAACTGCTTCAATTACACATTATATCTCTAAGGAAAGACATAGGAAGTGATCCAAGCTTCCTAATGCTATTTACAGCTGTTGATAACCCACATATTCTAGTGACTAAAAACAAGACAAAAAAAGTTGAGCTATGAAACAGGAAATCCCCATTCAAACCTTACTGCAAGAGCCAGTGTAGTGGTTTGAGTGTTCATAATCTAGTTCATATAGCTGCTGTGAGGATAAAATGCAAAGATGGGGGGGGGGGGACCACTTTGAGCTCGAGATGAAAAAAATAAAATAAATTGTATTATTTAGTAGAAGAGAAAGTAGATGGTCCTTAAGGTGCCTGCCGATGAGGACTTATGGGGATCTGTCATACCCAAGTGGAGGCTACTAGCGCCATATTTATCGTATGATGCCTACTGCTAGTTCAGACCATATGACACCAGTCCTGAAAGACCTACATTGGCTCCCAGTACATTTCCGAGTGTTCAGCCTGGACACTAAGGTCCAGCTCCGAGGGCCTTCTGGCGGTTCCCTCACTGTGAGAAGTGAGGTTACAGGGAACCAGGCAGAGTGGAATGCCCCCCCCCATCAGATGTCAAGGAAATAAACAAGTATATGACTTTTAGAAAACATCTGAAGGCAACCCTGGTTAGGGAAGTTTTTAATGTTTGATGTCTTATTCTGTTTAATATTCTGTTGGGAGCCGCCAACAGAATGGGCCAGATGAGCGGGGTATAAATAATAAGCTGTTGCTGTTGTTGTTGTTGTTTTTTTTATTATTATTATTATTATTCAGAGCCACAACACATAAAGCATGATTTTATTCCCCAAATCCATTGGCTAAAGATGGCAATTCCTCTAACCCAGTTGCCAGTTTGCCATAGCCCTTCAAAAGTCTCCTTGTTGTCATCCCCTACCCCCCCCCCACTGTTCCCAATTTCCATGTTGGAAGACATGTAGCCCATGCAGGGTCGAGCAAATGGAGAGGTTTCCTTTAAATAGTAATTTATTATGTTTATTCATTCCACTTAGGTGACATACGATTCTTGTATTACAGTAAATTTTCCAGCTTTGTTCAGAATCTGGCATATAATTTGGTTGCTCTCTCTTCCCACCCCTGCCAAGAAGAAGAAGAAGAAGAAGAAGAAGAAGAAGAAGAAGAAGAAGAAGAAGAAGAAGAATGCACAGCCCTGCCTTTAAGGAGGAAGACGACAGGTCTTTCTTTTTTAAAAAATACAAAAAACACTTCAGAGTGCACTTTTGACTAGAAGAGCATGAAGTTCCAAAGAGCTCCTCCTGCTACTGTGTGCTCTTCTCCCACACACTCATGTCCAACAAACCTCCTTTCTTTCGCATCAGTATGCCTTGCCAGTAATATCACAGATGCCCCTTGGCCGCCAAGCCAACAGCTTCCTCATTGTTTGCCTCCCTGAAAAGTTTTGTTGCCAGCCAATTGATGGACCGCAAACAAAAGCTTATTTGACCAGCACTTGTTCCAAAACAAAGACCCAGCTACAGAAGGAAGTGGCAATAGAGGCAGCCAAGTTGATACTCTTAACAATTTTGCAAACCCAAAACAGAGAAACATTTTTCTCTCCTCCTTCTGGGGCTCACGAGCCCACTAAGCAATGCTGTTGAGTGCCCTTATATTGCTGGTATCACCCTGATACCCTCTTCCAGCCACAAAGCAACAAACCTTGGTTTGCCATCAAGTGTAGACCCAACAGGAAACTGTAGCCAGTCCCAATGCACATGCTGCAAAACACCTCTTTGTCAGGTTCACACTTTTATGTTTTTTAGGTGTGCACTTCAGTGAACACCATTTGTTTGATGTAGTGGTAAAGTGTCATACTAGGACTTGGAAACACCTGGGTTCTAGTTCTCACTGAGTCATTAGATGATTTTGGGCCAGTCATTATTTTTCAATCTAACCTACTCCACAGGGTTGTTGTGAGGATAAAATGATATATAATGCCTTAAGCTCCTTTGAGGAAGGGGTGTGTGTATAATATACAGCAAATAAATAGATTTAGCAAACAGGTCAACACACCAGAAAAACCTATTTACCCAGCTGGACAAAAAAACAACATTTTACCTGTTACCAATACAGATACACATAGCTGGAAGATACAAGATAGATGGCCCAAGGAGGGTGGGGAATCACCCCACCCACCCCAAATGTCAAAAAGTGATAACATACCACGTGTAGCAAATTGTTTACTTTAGCAATCCTAACTTTCCCCCTCGCTCAGCTGCATTTGCTAAAGTTGTCAGAAGGAACTGATAGGAAGAGAAGAAGAAGTAGCTTTGGCCTCCAGTGACACAGAAGAAATTCACATGTTAAGTTACTGATTAGACAAAACACCCTCCTTGGGATGCAGCCGTCACATCCCTGATAAGGAAAGTTGGAAAACCACTGTGTCACCCAGTCCAGCCAGCCCTTTCTTGCAGTTCTCAAGTGGACGAAAGTGTTCCTTGCCATCTGCAACTGTTAAGGATGACTTTCAACAATAGGCTTGCTTCATAATACCAGGAAAAATATAAGGCTCACAGGAACATGATTGTTGTAGGATGCCTTTTTTACCCTTTAAGCAAGCAAAGAATTATGAGGCACAGAAAGACTTAACAACTTTGTGGTGGCAAGAACTTTTGCAGCCGGGTCCTACTAGTTTACATGCATGAAGGAGACAGTGAAGAAGCTGGGTCTGCAGAAACATAGGCCTATAAGGAGAGCGGAAAGAATTCCCCAAAGCCTTTAAGAGTAGAATGTACTAGACAGTTACAGACGTGGTATAAGGCAGCTCTGTCTGTATGTCTCTTCCCTCAAAAGCAAATCTGGAAAGAATGTATTTTCCCTGAGCTCCTCCCTAGGTTTCAAGTTTATGCAAAATGCTTCTCACCGCCAACTTCTCCAGATACTGTTTCGATTAATTTTGTTTGTGCATGTAAACACTTTCACGATGTTGTCGTTACTGTTAAAAGAAGTATACTGGACCATATTTGAGTTTGAAATTTCACGGGCTGACTTTCGCCAAAATCGGCAAAACAAGGCATCAGCTTTAAAGTAACCCAGAATAATTTGTCAGCTGTGACAAAATGTTAGTTGTCACCTAAAAGGTTGCACACTCCTAAATAAATAAATTTAAAACAAAATAAACGAAACCTGAAAGAATAGGAAAGCTGGGAGAGGGGAGTTGGCGACGACAACTACAACAATCCGTTTTTCAAGACCACATGTGATTATTCCTCAGAGCCATCTGTATCTCTAGTATGAAGTATAAAAAAAGTAATCACAACACATGCTTGGCTTTATTTGCTATTTTAAATAATGAATATTGTGAATCCATATACCTATTAAAGAGGGGAGAGAATGTGTATTTGTTTATAAGTACATAAGAAGAGCTTGCTAGAATCTGGTCCAGCATCCTGTTCTCACGGTGGCCAACCAATGCCTGTGGGAAACCCACAAGCAGGATCTAGGCATAAGAGCCCTCTCCCCTCCTATGGTTTCCAACAACTGGTATTCAGAAGCATTGTTGTCTCCAGCAGTGAAGGAAAAGCACAGGCAACTTGGCTAGCAGCCACTGACAGCCTTATCCTCCATAAATTTGCCTAATCCTTTTTAAAAGCCACCCACATTGGTCACCATCACTGCCTCTTGTGAGTTCCAGTTTAACCATGTGCGTTGTGAAGTAGCACTTTCTTTTCTCCGTCCTGAATCTTTCAACACTGAGCATCATGTGGGTGTCCCTGATTTCTAGTACTGTGACAACATCATGAGGCAGTGAATTCCACAGGCTGATGACATACTGAACCATTGCAACTGCTGGTGCCTACCTATTTATTTCTCTGAAGTCCCCTAAGATTTTGAGAACAACACATCTTCAACATACTCCAGCAAGACAGGATTACTAAGTCAAGGTACCTCACGTTCCCTGGTGTTCAATCATGGAACTTTGCCATGAAATCTATAAACAAACGCAGCAGGAAGAATGTTCTAATCCTACGGTGTTCCTAACAGCAACATTGCAGGCGTGTCTCCTTTGCAAAGCCTCAAAACAACTGTCGCCAAAAGAAGATGTGTTTGGTAAGGATGGGAAGTATGAATATTAAAAAGCTCTCTTGCATTCCATGCCTGACGAAAATGTAAAATTCACAGTGAACAATTTTTTCCTATTAAACAAAACAAAAGGACCATAAAATACAAGTCTAATTTACAAAAACAGGGAAGTGCCTGAGTGAGAATATTTAATTACAGCTCTAAAGTACACACACTTCCCAGCGACCATTCATTCACGGCATTAATAATAATTAATTAATTCATGAGCTTGGTCGGATTTCTGCCAGATGTTGGTTAGGAAATTTGATTCTGGTTTTTTTTTAAAGGAAAAAAGTATATTGCTGACAATTCTCTAAGTAATAGTATTCAGCAACTTAAGGAAAATAGGTGTCCTTTAAAAGGGGGGGTTAACTGTGGATTGTAACAGTATAATAACTGTGCAAACATTCATACAACAACGGAGAGTTGTTTGTATGGCATTGATACATACAACCAAAATTACGCTTTCCAGAGTTTATAAAAGAAATACATTCTTTTTTCAAAAAAAGTATTTCTTGTAGTGATGAGGCAAGAAACTATTGCGATGATTGATCCCCCCCCCCCACATTTATTTTGTCTTATAAGTTGTAGCTTTGCAGACAAATTAGGCATTTGCCCTAAGAAGCTTTCAATCTAATTTCATTCTAGGTGGAGATAAAAGTCAGGAGTGAGAAATGTGAGTGAGTTCAGTCACACGTATTTGGTCTTTGTTTCAAGTGGAGTGGAGGATTAAGGGCTGAAACCAGAGTTTTCAGCCAAAGAGGTGGGTCTTGACAGGAGGAGGGATTTGAAGGAAAAGAGAAAGAGAACATCATACAGCTGATCTGGAAGTGGGTTCAAGGCCAAAGGGGGCAGCAAGGAAGAGTGAGCAGAGTTAAGGAAACTGGAGCCTCTGGGGCAACTGAAGGAAGTAGTGTTTGTTTATTTGATCAATTTATATGCCCCAGTCTTTTGAAAAACTTTCCCTACAAGGCAGCCTACAAAAACAAAGTAATAACAATATATAAAATGGAACAACATTCTTAAAGGCAAAAACCACAATATGACCAATAATTCAAAACAGCCAGCGATAAACATAAACCTTTAAACAGCACAGTCCAATAAAAGCATAAATTCACAAGCCAGAACAACATCATCACAACAGCAGTCCAATTAAATGTAGTGTTATTAGAAGAATCCCAAATTGGCCCTGCTGCCATGACAATTGGGCATTGAGCCCAACTGCTGCACCAGCTCTAGTCTGGCACTGTGATCTGCCTCCCAAAGCCCTTTCTACCCCAAGCAGCCTGCAGCCAGGGTTAGGACTGTACCATTACTGCTGCAGTTATTGAAATATGAGTGGGCCACGTGAGAATGATGTGACTGAGGGCGCGGGTGAAAATAGATTGGACCCAGTGTATCTTACAGAGCTCCTCTCAGGCTGCTTCTCTTTCCAAGTTAAATCCACTGGAAGTTTGGTGCAGTCGTAATGTTGAGTGGTACTGACATACCTATAGAACAATCTCCCTTGGAGGTCTGCCAGGCTAACCATTATGGTTTTCAGTGCCTGGTCAAAGCACTGTCATCGTCACAAACCTTCAAGATTTGGCCATTGTCTGGTTTATATTGCTCTGGCTGCATTGTTTTATCGTAACACTGATTTTACAATTGAGTTACATTGGCCCCGTTGAGAAGATGTCAGTTTGAAGTGGGTTTGTAATTGTGGTTTGCAGAGAGCATGCATTTTGCTGAATTATAGTCTGCCTTATTTGGATATCTGAACAATATGTGGTTAATGCAAAAGTGGATGTAAACTAACATACATGAAGGGAGGTACTTATTAAACAAGGTAGATTCCTTTTCATGAGAAAACTGTGGGATAACCAGCCTCATATAACCAACATGCTTAAATCTAATGCATGGAGTGGTTAATGGCATAGAGTAAGCTGTCCTGCCAGGCTTAGCTAGGTCACTCCTCCTCACCTTGGGAGGAAGCTATTATTCCCCTTCGGTCTACTTGAAAAGCTCAATATGTGAGGGTTGAGCTGATTGCGGAAACTCAGACCCCATGGTTCTTATAAGCCATTCTGGTGTTTCTATACCAATAATTTAGGAACTTTCACCACTTTGTAACAAAGCCAATTTTTACTGCCTGTGGAACCTTTTCTGAATGCTGTATGGAAAAGCACATGAATCTGACCTTTGGAGAATTTGTAAGTAAACCATCTTTAACTTATCAAAGGTGTGCTCTCCTCCTCCTATCCTGTACTAAAGGAAGAGGAAAGCTTTGGAACTCACACGGGCATATTTTAAAGGTCTAACAGCCTATATTTCCATGCTTTACTTTGCTGCTTGTTTTCTAATTTTAAATCTCTCCTGGGATTCTCTCACCAAAGAATACTTGCCCCAAACCTAGATCTTGGCACCAACAAAAACAAGGACAAAGTTTATCATATACGGTATCTGCTACTGAAATTCATGCAAAGAGCCGGTTCCATCTGCTGCTCTCCTAGTTATCTAAACTCTACTTAGTTAAACTCTACTTCCAGCCCCATTTTAAGCAGGTTAACCTGAGAGATAGTGACTGGGCCAAGCTCACCAGGTAAACTTTACAACGGAATGGGATTTGAAGCTGAGACTCCCAGTCTTAGTACAATACTCTAACCTAGGGTTAGCCAATATGGTACCCTTTAGTTTTTGTGAACTACAAATCCCATCGGCATCAGCCAGAATGGCCTATCAATAAAGAAGATAGGAGCTGTAGTTGATTCATGAGCCTGTATTACTTTTTATCTAGTCAGCTGTCTTTGTTGTATAAAATGACTGGCTAGAATTTTGTACTGAGGGATATAGATGGGTGTGTGATCGTGTCTATTTTTAAGCTGGAAAGCATAATGTTAGTATAATTGATTTTTATTGAGTTTTACTATATTGTATTTGATTTCTATATGGTACATCATTTTGTGTTTCTTTTAAATATAGAACAACTATGACATTTTCAAAATAAATAATTATATACAAAATAAATAATTGCGAGAAATCAATCTTTTAGTATGACAGCACCTATTCTCTGGCACTCCCTGCCTATCAATATTACCTTTGTTGTACTGTTTTCAACACTGGCTAAAAAAATTGTTGTTCTGGCAACCTACCCAGATGATATTTGCTTTTAAAGCTGTTAGTTTTATCAATATTTTGATGACAATTTGATGTCTACTTTTTTTTGTCTGCTTTTTTCAATATTTAAAAAAATATTATTTTATGTAAACTGTTTTTTATTTATTATTATTAAGCAAGTATATAAAACTTGCTAAGTAAATAAATACACTAAAACAAACATCCGGAGGGCACCAGGTTGGCTACCCTTACATCCTCAATGGCGATGTCCAACCAACTCAGAGAAGGTCCTACGGGACGGTCTAGGGCATGTGCCCCAGATCATCATCCCATATCTTCTGCCATGCACTGCAGCTTCATGGCAGATGAGTCACTGTGAAAGAGTTTTCTCACAGACAGGAAGCTGGAAAGCTACTGCCATGTCTCACGCAGAAGAACAACCCTCCTCTTATTACCAAGGTTGCTCTAATAATGGATGGGTTTAGATCTACAAGTACACTTTGTAGAGCAGGCTATGGTACTACTTAACCGAGAAAGTCCAAGTAAGCCAACCACTAGGCATTGTTGTTGTTTTCCTGCCAAGAAAGGGATGGCGGAGGGAGGGGGAGCTCTCCACAGATCAAGCAAAAAGGTTGTGTTTTCAATCCTTCTGTTTACTGTCACACTCGGATAAATGCTCTAGATGAGCTGCTTTTGCAATCAGAATTCATACTTAATTTAACTTGCATTTCACTTCTGCAGGAAGCATCTTAACTTGGAGGATTTATAAA